TGTTGTCCACAAAAGCCAGCTGGATCATAGTGTAATGATAATATGGCAATATATATATAAAAAAAAAAGCACCATTTGAAGGATGCTTCAGATCACTAGATTGGAGAGGATGTTATGCTGGTAGAAGGTATTTTCTCAGGAGGTAATATTTTCTGGGTCATGAACTGGTTCCCTATTTGTGGTAGTGACACACCATATTTATCCAGTTTGGTCAACAGAGATTTAGTGAATGTCTCTGCCACATGCCAGACCCTGAGCTATTATCAGGGATTCAGTAGTGGGTGAGGAGCTAATGGAAGTCTGTCCCTTGATCAACCTTACCGTCCAGGGGAGCAGACATTAATCAAATAATACTCACTGTAACTGTGATGAGTGTTATAAAGGAAGGCCACGAGGAGGCGATGATAAGAAAGCATACAATAGGAGGACTTTTGTTCTCGTGAGAGGGGAGCGAAGAGTAGGGACATCTTCTCTCATGGAGAGCCATTCGGAATCTGAAGGATGAGCTGGAGCTCAGCCAAGTACTCTGCAGGAAAGCGATGGCAAACCCAACAGGAGGCTTTAGGAGAGCTAGATAACAGGACGGTATTCCAAGATGTGCACAGAGTTCAGAGAAGCAGCACAAGGCAGCAGTGAACCTGCCTGGCACTAGTGAGAGTGGAGACCAGGCAGGATGGTCATAGCCGTAAAGATGGAAGTCCAGTAGGAGCTGTGGCTTTGGGTAGAGGGGATATCCAATCCATGGAGACCCAGGAAGGAGGAAACCAGAAGAATAAGTCATCTGACCTCCCTCTCCTTGCTTTGACTTCCTTTTGTCCTTTCTCTTGGCTGCTCCCACCTGGAGTCCCATAGCAAGGAAGCCATTGGTGTGGTCTACATAGGTTAGACTCCTTACAAAGAGAAGGTGGAGCAGAGTGGAGCACAGATCTGGAGGGGCAAATAGAAGAGATCTGGCATGATGAGTGCTGAGTAGGTTAAAAAAAAAAAAAAATTATATATATATATTCCGTAGACTCACATCATAGAGTGTGCCGTGGAGCACACCCCACGCAACAGGAGCAGCATGTACTAAGGCCCTGTGGCAGAAAGGAACATGGAACCTTCCAAGAAGCCTGCTTCTCGTGGTCACAAGAGTGGCCCAAGGGATCATAATCAAGGAGGAAGGACAGGGATCATGAAGAAAAACAGTAAGTGTCAGGTCTGGGAGGTGGCTTGGAGGCCAAGAAATAAGAAATAAGCCAGGAAGCAGAAGGTCAGTTGGGTGAAACGATTCAGGATAAAAAAAGACTTGAATAAGGCAAAGGCATCCCGGGCTTAGCCTCTTCGGTTGCTAGTCCTGCATGCAGTAACACTCCCAGAGTTAAATGGCTGGAAGGAGTCATAAGCCTTTGCCAGAGATAGTTCAAAGCAGTGCTGGAATGAGGAGACTGCCCTATTCAGTCATTGCAGTCAGTCATTTAGTCAGCAAGTATTTATGAATGGTTTTTGTTTTCCTATTATACTAGGGGCTGAGAGAGAAATGATGTGATTCTTGTCTCTGGGGAGCTCACGGGCTCAGCAGGGAAGGCACGCATGTAAGGAAATACTTCCAGTATCATGCAATAAGTGCCCCTTAAGGAGCTGCGGACAGGGCGCAGAGAGCCCAGCCTGGACTGACTGTCCGGGGAGGGCCGAGAAGGTGTCCCAAAGATGTGATCTCTCTGCTTGGTCTTCCCTTCTCTAGTTAGGAAAGTGAGATGAGGGTTTTCACCCAGCTGTAAGCCAACTACCAAAGCAAACAATCTCTCAATCTCAGTGGTTTAACATAACAAAATCTGTAAGATCTTTCTTTCTCATGCCATAGCCACTCTGTTCTGAGTGGCTCTTTCCAAAGGGGTGACCCAAGGGTTCAGGTCTCTGGAGCTCCAGCAGGCAGTTTGCAGGGCCGCTGCATGAGGAGCAGAGAGTGGGAGGAAGGCACAGTGCACCCTCAGCTGCCTTCCCCGGACACTGGTCACTCCCCCTCACGCTCCATTGGGCCAAAGTGTCTGATGGTCACATGGAGATGCAAGGCAGTGGGAAATGGAGTCTAGGCTCCAAGAGAGCATGAACCTCTGGTGGGCTGTCAGCTGCCTCCACAGCAGGGGATGGTACACCAGGGAGCCCAGAATCAGGGAAAGGCAGGCAATTGCTGAGAGAACATTTACAGAAAAGAAGCCAGGGAGGTCAGTCAGCTGGATTGCTGAGACCCAAGGACAACATGCCAAGGAGACGGAGACCTTCCCCCTAGCTGCGTGGCACCACTGGTGGTGTCTCCTCAGGGTGTGCTTTGATCAGATTTTCATCTCTACACAGCACACCCTTTCCTCTCATCTTTTGCTCCACGGAAAGGCCACGATGGTGTGGAGGCCGAACACTGTCCAGCTTTGCTGCTTATCAGTATGGAAGCTGTGTCTCCAAGCCTCAGTTATCTTATTAAGAAAGTGGGGATAAACTCTGTACTGCCCATCCGCAGGAGGCTTGATGAGCAAATAGATAGTGTCAGGAGGATGTCCTTTAGAAATTGTATCAGTTTTAGCATCGACTCTTCTCCCAGATTTAGAAACCCCAGCTGGAAAGGATAATACATTTCCATTACCGGCTAAATATTTGCTTCAGCCTCTGTTTTTTTCACCAGAGAATTTATTCTAAGCTCTCCAAAGCTTTTTTCCCAGTGTTCCGTGGCGTACATAGACAAGGTAAAATGTTCCTTTCACTCCACATCCTCTTCTATCAGCCCCAGACTGAAAATCCCTTTATTAACTTTTTAAATACACAAGTGGAAAGCAGATGGCATTATCTAGATAATGCTAGCAAAAGATCAGACTCTTTTCCAAGGCCTATGCTCTGATTTGAAATAACCAAATAAAATAAGGTTATTTTGGCCTGAAATTAGATATTGAAATAAGGTATTTGGAAAATTGCCATAGTTTGTAAATTTTCATCTATTCTTTAGATATGGTCTGGGTCTATTAGAGCATCTTCTACCAAATGGACTAATTTGACAAAGGTTGAACCACGTACATCAGGCTCCCTCCCATCTCTGACCTTTTTCTCTTTCTCCCCGTTACCATTCTCCTCCCTCTCCTAGTGGCAAATATTACTTTGGTTTTAATCTGTAGTGTCAGGAGAACTAAAAACACTGCCCTAAGATGGTCCACAGGTCCACAGGTCCATAGCACCATAATAAAAGAGACATCATTCACACATTTCTGGGGTACCTGTCACCAGAGCAAGCAGGTGCAATTTCCATTGTTTAATTTTGCGTCCATATTTTGGACTGAACATGGAATCTTAAGTTTTATATTTTTATTAAGGTTCCAAAAAGGTTCTTTTGGATCTGCTGTATCCTTGGGGCAGGGAGGGGAGGTGGCTGTCAGTTATACTGTCCACCTTAATGGCCTTCCTTCCCTAAACAGCAGTCATAGCTGTTCTCGGAAAGGAGCAGGGCCCATGTGAAGATGTATTTCCAAGGGAGGATGAGGGGATGAGAATGTTGGTATTTCTAAAAGTATAGACAGCCTGACAGCAAATTCCAGAGCCTGGGTAACATTTTAAATTGGTAATGCTCCTAATTACCCAAACCCTAGGAAACTGTATGGAATACAGCCACAGTTCTAGAATTAATATAAGTGAGCGCTGTGAACCCATCACTAACAGCATGCTCTCTTAGAATAATGGCAGAATATCTGTGTCAGCACAGTGTGGCACTGCAGTTAAAACACACAGATATGCACGCACACACTGGCTTGATAGTTCCTATTTTTTGGAAAAATTTACCTTCTATCAAGTTAAAAGAATAATTTTTTTTCTAAGTCTCCTACAAAAAGTAATACTAAGTAATACTTCATTTCCTTGTCCAACATTGCTATTGCTATCTCTGCATTAAAATGTCAGATTTATGAAGATGAATTTAAGTAAACAGTGTATGGTTTTATGGAACATGAGCTTGGAAGGCAGAAATGCCCAGATTCAAGTCCTTACTTCCCTTTCTGCTGCTAGTTGAACTATCTGCTGCTAGTTGAACTTGGGCTGGTTGGTTAGTGTCTCTGAACTTCAACTTGGTCATTTCTAAAGTAGACATGATAATGTCATTTGCTCAAATGTTTATTGTGAGGATTTGGGGCCAATCAAAATGTTTTGCTCAAAGCTGGTGCTGAAAGATGCTAAGAGTCAAAGTCATCGATGTGCCAGGAACCCTGTGGCCTGAAATCTCGATCATCAGATTGAGACTTGGGCCGTGGCTTTGGCAGTGTTTGGGGATGGGAACCAGTACATGCCATCGACCTCTTGCTCTCAGCGTGTTAGTCCAGGTGTTGGGCCCTTGTGCTTGTGAGTGCACAAATGAATGGTGATTTTCTTGATTTAAGTCCTAGGTTTGAACACAGAGAGTAGAAGAAAAGTGGAGATTCCACGTGTCCAGTGTCTTAATACCCTTTTACCTTCCATTTATAAACCTCCCCAACTTCGTGGAGGGGCCTGGATAAAAAGCAAGCACATACCTCACTTTTGGATTTTTGAAGACTTTATCTTCCATTATTTCTGAATAAATAAAAAGAATATATGTTTATATATATAAAATTATATACAAAACATAAAAACTGTTGACAGTTTTCATTTTCTTGGTGCTAACAGATTGGGTAAGCAAGCTCACTCATGGCCCTTTACTTTTCTTGGCCCTAAATGTCCTAAAAGCAATCCATGCTACAAAGAAACTCTGAAAATAGGAGCAGTGGTTTGAAAAACACCAGTTACGTGCCAAGTGCTTTATACACAATTTATGTTCATTAATCCTACAGCCAAACTTAAAAAGTGGATATTACTAACCCCATTAAACATCTGAGAAAAAGGCTCATAGAGATTCATAACTTGGCCAAGGTAAGAGCACTTATAAGTAGCTGAGCTTGTATGTTCACTAGGTCTGATGGCAAGGCTCGGAGTTCATGTTCTCACCCCTCTCTTGTCTTCACTTTCTCTTCCAGGTTGTTCTGGACGTTGGTTGTGGATCCGGAATACTGTCATTTTTTGCTGTTCAGGCTGGAGCTAGGAGAGTGTATGCTGTTGAAGCCAGTTCAGTAGCACAATATGCTGAGGTAAGGGGTTGTATTTTTACAGCAGCTACTAACCAGATCTTTGGTAAACTTCAGGGGACTGGGTGATGGGCTCTTCCAGGTGGGTCATTTGGAAGAATTTTTTTTTCACCAGTCTGATTTTCCTTTTTTTCCCCCCATTGGGATTTTACTGCTGCAAGAATCCAGACTTCATTGTTGTAATTGAGAGGAAAACAAGTTTTTAAGCCATTTCACGATCCTGGAAATAGAACAAAACTTTCTTCTTCCCCATCCACTGGGTGGCAGGTGGGCCTGGGGGAGATGGATGTTTTCTTATCTTTAATGACCTACTGAGGTGAGGAATCAGACCTCCCTGGAGCTAGATTCATTTTGTTTTTAAGTGCTGTATGGACAACAGCTGTACCACTCACTTTAAATTTTACTTTGCGCTTAAGGAGCTGTTGCTCCATGGTTGTATTTGGAACACAGATAGATGTCTGTGTTTCAGGGAGTTTTTTCAGATTTCAGGCTCTGATTGGAGGATAGGGCAATGCTTTGTTTTAATATAGCCCTCTATTACCATTATGAAATGTGTACAAATACTAGAGAATAAGTCAAAGTCAAGAGTCCGGTAATAATGGCTTTCGGTAATACCTGGATATAGTAATGACCCAGTCATGGCTGCACGGATTTGATGGATTTGCACACGTGCCCGAACAGGTAATGTGCTTGTCATTCACACTGGAAGGAGGCCGGAGTTTTAATGAGGGACAGGATGACCGAAAGGGAAGCTTGCCTGTTCCTTCTGATGAGCATCGCATGATGTTCTCCAGCCCCAGACAACTGGTAGCTCAGGGTGGCGGCTGGCTTTGGATTGCGTGAGCCAAGAGGGACCAGAGACAGGTAGACTAGTGTGGCATGTTTGGAAGAGAAGAATGCAAGAGCCTAATAGCTGGCAAGTTGTTGAACTCTTTTTTTCCTTCCAGCAAATGTTGGATAAAATATTTTTGGTCATTTGCTCCTTCACCAGTTCTTAAACGTTTTTAGTGAAGATTAGATACATGCAAAAGAATATTTGTCAAATGTGTAAGTGTAAAGGATCATGATGCATTGATCATGGGCCTTGTACCTCTTTTCAGAAGTGGGCCATTAGCATTTCCATTAAAGATCCATGTGACCTGTTCTGATTGCTTCTCCTTTCTGCTTTAAACAGAGGGAACCACAGTCTTGAATTTTTGTTTCATTCCGTTGTTCTATAGACTTTTACCACATGTATTTCTGACCCTAAAAACAAATCCCTTATGAACTGTTCATAAATGGAATCATCATGTATGCATTCTTCTATAGTTTGCTTTTTTTAATGCCACGTGATGATCATTTTGTGGATGCGAACAACAGTTGTTTACTTTTCTTCAGTGCTGGAAACTGTGCTCTTGTATGGGATGCCTCAGGTTGTTTGCTCACTGTTCTGTTGGCGGACTTACAGTGGCCTCCATTACAGAAGTGTTGTTACGAATATTCTTGTACAACACTCCCCATTACATCTCTGCTAGAGTTCCTCGGCATCTACACATCAGTAGAATTGCTGGGTCATAGGACAGGCCTACCTTCCACTCTGCTCTGTAATTCTCACTTGTTTTCCAAAGTGGCTCTTCCAGTTTTCACTCCCTCCAGCAGTAACCAAGAATGCCATTGTTCTACAATTCTGTCAGCACTTGATATTGTCAGACTTTCGAATTTTTGCCCATTTGGTATTTATGCTATGATGTTTGCAGTTTTAATTTGCATTTTCCACTTACTAATGACTTTGAGCAACTTTGCAGGGTGTTTTGGCCACTCTCTTCTGTAGAATACCTGTTCAAGTTTTTTGGGTTTTGGGGGGACAATTTTTATTTTGAATTTTTTTTTCAAATTCTAATTCATTTGTAGGAATGATTTCTATATTCTGGATATTAATCATTCCAGTTATGTATGTGGAAAATAGCTTTTTACAGTTGGTATCTCACCTTTTCTCTTTCTTTATGGTCCTATTAGTCTTGAAGTGTGGAATTCTAAAAAAGAAGAGAATACAAGCTTATGAGGAGAGAACCTTATAAAGTGCCTCCACTTAGATTTTCATAAATCTGAAAATACATTCCTAAGGATTAACTTTGTCTCGGGTGCTGCTGCTCAGGTGCTGCTCAGCCATTCAATCATATGTTCATTCAGTCAGCTCCGACAATTCTGGGTTTTGGGAATATAAGAGTAACTACTGATTAGGGTCTATTCCTGTCTTCAGAGAGGTCCGTCCTTCCTTCCTTCCTTCCTTCCTTCCTTCCTTTCTTTCTTTTTAAAGATTTTATTTATTTGACAGATAGACAGAGATCACAAGTAGGCAGAGAAGCAGGCAGAGGGGGAGGGGGAAGCAGGCTCCCCACTGAGCAGCGAGCCCAGTGCGGGGCTTGATCCCAGGACCCTGAGATCATGACCTGAGCCGAAGACATAGGCTTTAACCCACTGAGCCACCTAGGCACCTGAGAGGTCCTATTCTAATAAGAGATTGATCCTGTTGTGCCTTGTATCAGACACGACCCCAGAAAAAGAGTGGCATAACTCAGGGACTTTCTTTTTCTTGTACATTTTGTGTTCTCATACATTTTAAGGCGATTCAAGACATATTACTTCTTTTCAAAACCTTGAAAACCTAATGCCCTTGGTTATAGTATTTTAAGGAAAAACAAGAAGAAATTAGCTAGAGACAACCTTCCATTTCCTAGCTGTAATCCTGCCTCCATCCCCAGCATAAACTTTCAGTAATCATCAGCACACCACGGGAGGAGACATTCTAGAACTGTCTGTGTGATTGGTTTCTCCAAGAGAATCCTCTTCCTGATTAAACATATCAGTAGGATTGTTGCCCTTCTTACAGAGTGGGGCTGCCCTCACAGGCACTTGTACCCAGAGTGTGGCTGCTGTATAATTATAAGGGTCTCTAGCAAGAAGCTAATCCACAGGAGAAGAAAAGAGAAAGAATCTGAAATTTTAAAAACTTTTAAATTTTTAAAAATTTTTTTTACTATGTTGTGTTAGTCATCATACAGTACATTATTAGTTTTTGAGGTAGTGTTTGTGTACAACACCCAGTGCTTCACGCAGTCCATGCCCTCCTTAACACCTGTCACTGTGCTCACCCATCCCCCCACCCTTCTCCCATCTGAAACCCTCAGTTTGTTTCTCAGAGTCCACAGTCTGTCATGGTTCACCTCCCCCTCCAATTCCCTCCCTTCATTTTATAAACTATTTAAAACTTTTTACATGATTTGAAACTTGAAATAATTTCAAACTTACAGGTAACTTGTAAAAATAGGAATAGTTCAAAGGCTACCCAAATCTTTTTACCTAGACTCACCAGTTTTTCACATTCTACCCCATGTGCTTTATTGTTGACTCTTGCTTTCCTCTCCTCCCCCGACATGGCTATGTATGCACACATGTATCAATGTTCATACATATGGGGGTAGATACAGAGATGGACGTGCACACACAGGTTTATTTTAGCAAGTGCGTGCACCTGCACACATAGGAGTAGGGGGAGGAGGGGCAGAGGAGGGAGAGGAGAGAGAGAATCTTAAGCAGGCTCCACACCCAGCACAGAACCTGATGCGGGCCTCGATCTCATAACGCTGAGATCATGACCTGAGCCGACATCAAGAGTCATTCACCTGAACCAACTGGACCCCCCCAGGCTCCCCACACACACACTTGTTTTCCCGAGTCAGTGATAGATGCATCATGGCTTTTTATCCTTGAACATTTCACTATGTGTTTCCTAGGATTAAAGCTATTATATAACCAAAGAAGAACCTAATTTAAAAGTGAAAAAGGCGCTGTACAATGACTTGTCCGTCGAGTCTTTCGATGTTACTGATCAGCAGGTTCGGGGAGGCCATGGCGCGAGCGGGGAGCCCTTCAATGTAGGTGTGGAGGGAGGAGAGTCTCTACTGAACCGCATCTCGGCCTGTGTTTCATTTCCAGGGACACTTGAGTTTTCAAGCTTTAACACCAATGTTCTAATGAATCCCCAGAGCCATAGTTTTATGTTCTCTTTGGTTTGGGCTTCTGTAGAGGGTTTTTGTGTTTCGTACTCTTTCTTTTCTGTGTCTCGCTGGGGCAGGTTGGAGGCAGGGGTGGCTCTTCAGATGCTCTGGGGACTGCACAGAGCCCTTGACATCCTTGCCGGCAGGTCCCTTTGGCCCCCGAGACCATCCCTGCATGGGGCCCTAAGGACAGGCTAGTTATAATGCATTCAGGGCCAAGCATGATTAGAACCTTCTCGGAGGATGGATTTAGTGCCAGCCTGGCCCCTCCCGATGAAAACCGTGGCCCCCGCCGTGCCTCCGGCTGCTGCCGTGGCCATCATGAGAGGCTCCTGTGGGCCAGGCCTTTTCACCCTCGGGGAGGGCGACCCGTACCAGCTCTTGATTTCTGCTTCTTACACTGACACTCGTCTGCACAATTTGTAGGTGGCAAAATGCAAGTGTGAACCGCACACAAAAGATTTTCCCTCTAAGAATAGGCTTTCAAAGCAGCTCAGCACACAGTGCATGGTGCTCCTTTCGACCTTTTCATTATTTGGTAATTGAACCAGCAGACATTTAATTCTTTCCTCTGGAGTCTTCATTAAATTGCTCGGAAAAGATAAAATTGCAACAAGAAAGAAAAATGAACAAATTTAACTACCATCGCCTGTGCCTGGATACTTCTTCTCACGCCAGGCTTCTGGGCTTTAAGTAAACAGCATATTTTAAAATTGCAGTGAATTCAATTTCAGTTGCTTTCAGTGGCTCAAACTGATTTTGTAAGGGCTGACCCTCAGTCAGCAGGATGATGTGAGCGACTCCTTGTCTGGAGGGCACGTACATGGAGTCATTTTTTGCAGGATGGTCATGAACTTGCCCAGGGACAGCCACATGCTCTCACCCTGGGCCCCATCTGACATTTCTGGGTCAGTAATAAGAGATCATCCTTTTCCATGGAACAGGGCAGGACTAAATGTCTCCCAT